GTGCTACCAGCTGAATGACGTGTTAACAGCAGGGGAAAAACAAAAAGTCATGGAATATACATCGGACACCAGATCTCGCTTATGGTCGGAGAAAGAGAGCTTCTCTGCAGCGTGACCTTCAGATGTGGACACCCCTGAGAGCGACCTCATTTTCACTGCCAGTGTGGAAAATAAATAAGAAAGAAAATAAAAAGAAATCGTTAGCAAGAAGACAATTAGCGGAATTTCACTGAACAGCAGCCATTGGTGAGGCAGCACTGGCAACTGCTCAATCCTTGCTAACAAACTACTGCCAATTGGGTGGGGGGAGGGCAAGGAAATAAGCATGAAACAAAGCAGGGTCAAATCAAGCATTTACACAGGACACCTATGGGGACAGGAAGGGGATCTCGGCTATCAGGACCGGGGAAGTCAGCAGGGAAAAAGCCCCCCTTCTAGCCTTCCTCTCATTTTCTTCCTTCCTCTTACTGCAGACCTTCACAATAAGAGAGGAAATTCCCTAGAGGTGTCACATGACTGTCAATTGCCAGTGGGAGGGGCTCCGACCAGATGGGGCACAGTGGGTTTTTTACCTTCCCATCATCCTGTGGGAGTGCAAACGCAGCAGATCACTGAGCAAACAAGGAAGGGTATCTGCTGTCCAAGACAAGCAGCGGCGGAGAATCAATCGTCAACGCAAATGACCACGTCTCTGCTACTGTATATAGCTTACAGAGTAATACTTTGCTACGGGGCTGAATGATTTATCAATTTAAAATCGAAATTGCGATTTGAAACTACGTGATTTAGGATATGCATTATACAGCATGTCTGACCCAGGGTTTAAATATGTATATGCTGGGTCACTAAATACTCCAGGTATGTACACATGGGTTATAAAAGTAAACACTGGTTGGAAGCAATTCATATCTTCTCCTCCTTGCATTAGAATATAGACCAGTTAATATTTTGATGGTATCTCATGTGGTAATGCTGCGTCACATGTTTTAAATCTGCTGAACTCTGAATATTGAACTGAAGCTGGACTTTTAAAAAATGATTTGTCAGAAAAATCACTATTATATATTTTTCCAAATCATTCAGCCCTGCTCTCCTTACCAAACATGCATTGCGGCTCTGCACCAAAACTTGCCAATCACAGAGAGGCTCTTTAGCAGCGCCTTACGGAAGGGCGAACGCGCCAAGCTGCTCTGGAGAAAAAGCGCCTGGCAGGTAAAGTGGATGGAGCCTTGAACCGGCAGCTGAAAAGGCCGATTTCTATTCATCCGATAGCATTAGCATTCACACTGGCTGCTCGCGTAGGGCAGAGGGCGGAAGGACAGCTCTCTCCGCGCCAACACTGCCAGACAGACTGGGCCTGGGACTCAAGGAAAAACAAGCCCGCAATTGGCAGCGGGTTTCTGTTCTTAATCCAGTCTTGTGTGGCATGGAGAATTTAAAAAAAAAATAAAAAAAATGGAGGCTCATCTCAGTTGAGAAACCGACAGCGTGGGAGGACGAATTATGGGCCTTGATCTCAAAGTGGCATCTTCACAGGTATGGTGGCCTCTTATGACGGCTGTGTGGGCAGGCGTGAAGCGGTCGGGTGCCTCCCACAGTCCCCACCCCCATCCCGGACCCCGTCCACTGAATCTTGGCACCCGCTGGCCTCCCAGACCTTCTGCCGCATGCTCTGCATTTCTCGGGGGCCCTTCTGCCTCTGCGCTCTTTCGGAAAATGGCAGCATCTCCGCAGACATGGAAATTCCCCCCCTCCCCTTAAGTATAAGATACTACACAGTGAATTAGTTTAAAGGGACCAGACTCTTCTCAGGTACAGCATTTACACAAACACTTGGACCTCACTATCCCTTCCTGAAGAAACACCAAACCCAATGTATAGCCAACACTGGCCAACGGCCAAAGGTGTGTGCAGGATAGGTCCTAGACACGGAAAGTTTTTTCCTTCCCTTGCTTTGGTTTCCTTTTCTGACATCTGTCCAAAACATTTAGTAAATGTATAACATTAATCTCCACTATTAACTGTTACTGTCATATTCATGATTATAGCCGTTATTCTTTCCTTGTTAAATGTTCGTCAAACACTGTGATTCCTCTACCACGCAAGCCAGCACTGAAGTATAACTACAAATGACAGAGCTCTTCTAGGGGAGGGACGACCAAATGTTTGAATGACCACATCCGCTTAGGGACATTCGCAAAACATTCATCTGTTCCCTATACAACCCACTTGTGCAATACTACTTATTTTTGAGCAGTTACTTCAGAATTCCATGCAATACTTTCCCTGACATTCTTTGCATTGTCACCGTTTATTGTCATCTGTTACTGTACATTAATGTCTAAATGTCTTTTTATTGTCTAAATGTGTGTATTGTGCTACTGTGAACCTGTAGTTTCCTTCAAGATAAATAAAGTACCTATCTTTATCCAAAGGAGTCACATGTTCCAGTTCGGGTTAGTGGCATCTGTCCTGCGGGGTGGGGGGGGTGGGGGGGGGCAGGGTACGGCACGTCGCCCAAATAGCAGCAGGTGACGCCGGTGAACCCTGACAGACGTAGGTTTATTAATAGTCGACACCAGGAAAAGAGGGGGAACAAGGCAGCCTGTGGCAAAGGGGCAGGGGTTGGCTAGCCTAGCATGTCCTACCTGTTCCCTCACTGCCAAACTAACAGTGAGGACAGGGATAACCTGGGGCATGCGGCCTTCGCCAATCAGACAGTACAAAGGACACCCATAACACAACTGCCTAAGCAGGCACCAAGCGCAGACCTCAAGGAGTACTGACCAAAATGCATTTCATATGTTCTGGCAGGTAGGTGGGCAAACTGACAGTCAAATCCAGTCACCAAGTCTCCACCTGTGGACCCGTGCAAAATACCACCCCCCTCCCACTTCGGCGACAACATAACCAGCTAAATAGAGTTGGTTCTCACGCTCAACCCCGGGAGGGCTCCTTGTGTTTACTTGTTTCTGTCCCAGCCAATCTGTTAATTAACTGGGTCTGATTTCTTATGATTAAACTCAGTCCATATTTTTTCTTGACATCTTTGTTTCAATAAACCTTAAAAACATAACATAACAATTAAAATGGCGCAGCTCGATAGTTCACTCCCCTTTAAATACCAAGTAACAGATTTTCTCATAATTAAATAATTTTTTCTATTGCTTGAGGTACAAAAACATATCAGACCAACAAATGATTTTTAAATTTACAAAAACAGCCTCATTACTGAAGCCCACTCATGATATCATGGCCACACAAACGTTCTTCCTAGGACTTGCCTGAGAAACATCACTTTGTATGAAAAACAAAAGTGAAGAGCAAGAAATCACCAGTGCGTCTATTCCTCAGGTTAACCATAGATTTAAAAAAAAAAAAAAAACACACACTCATTTTATAGTTGTGTCTACTCAGCTTTGGGTTATGCTCTCTGATAGGCCAAATACTCCCCAGGCTAAATACTTCAGAGCATCTTCCAGATGCAGTTAGAGAGTATTCTACAGCAATGCCTTTAACGCATCAGAGCAGAGGCTAAACGTGGATAACAGAGTGTCTGCATTAAGAAACTGCTGACAGGGTAAACGGCACAGAGACCGATGCATCACTATCTGGTCCTACAGGTACGACTCCTGTTGCCCCAGAAATGCGGCCAAGCCAAACATTTGCAAAGTTTCTCACCACACCAGTAAGAACGGAAACGGGGCGAACTTAAACATGGCAGTCGTCAAAGGGGATGCCACAGATGCTTAAAGAAAATATGAACTGCAGCAGAATCAACAGAAGTGTTCTATTATCTGAAGAGAAATAAAAACAGAAATTAAATTTATTATGCTTTTGAGAAATCCAGATTCCTCTATAAGACCATCATCCCCTAGGACTACACCTGAACCACTTCTTTTAGTAATATTATAACGATAACACTGCAAGTTGGACTTCTTCCATAAACCCTGCAGAGTCAACGAAACTTTGACAGGAAAAGTCTTTGCGGCCACGAACAGCCACGTTGGCTATTCTCTTGGTTGTACAGCCATGATTTATGAGAAAGTATCTAAGCGGGGTATTTGAGGAAAGGGTGCTGGTTATTTCCCCTCCTCCGCCCCCACACCATATCCCTTTGTAGATGTACATAAATACTGCTGTGTGAAACTATCATTCTGATAGCAGCGGCATCACATTCGTCCATGAATTGAATGCAACCCCAGTCCCCGGTACAGCCCTACCGTCCATTTAAAAAAAATGCAGCTTTACAATAAGACGTTAACAAATGCGTATTTCTTTAATTAAAAAACTGAGAATAAGTGAATTGTGACCTAAAACGAAGCTGTCCATATACGACACGCAAACCTAATTAAATGCCCAATAAGATTACATACACCAAACCAGGAAAAGCACGACAACAATTTCATATTAAAGGCTAGCAGGTCGCATAAGCTGGCACACCGCTATGGGGAGATGTCACCCGACAGGGCTGCAAGTTAACGGGAACAATTAGACCGAGTCGCGATGAACATGTTTAAGGCCGTAGGGAAGAAGAAAAGGAAAAACGGGACAGCCTAAAGCCCGCGGCCGGACTGGGAGCGCTGGTCAGGGCTGTACTCTCACAGGACACGCCGCTGGGTGGGGAGATGAACACCGAGGCCTTTTTTTGTTCACCTAACACTCGGTACTTTGCAGGTAAACACACATACACACACGGCCCGACCTCATTTGTTTATTAATTATTATTATTTTATTTTTTTTTACTGGGCTACGCTCACCAAACAGCCGCTTCCGAGGGAGTCGCCTCGAGTCGAAAGTGGCCGGACCCGTTTAACTTACTGGGCGCCCGCTTCGCGGCGCAGTCAGCAAGCCGCCGAGATAACCGGTAACCACCGGGAGACGAGCGGCTAGTTAGCGGAGCAGCCCGCGACCCCACGAAATCCCCGAGTGCAGCGAAAATAAAAGAAATAAAATTAGGAAAATGAAGCGAATGACTGCAGACCGACAAGCCCACTTACCAGAGGGGACATCAAAAGAGCAGCTTCCCAGAAAGGCACGGCGTCCCCGTTTGCAAGAGCATTATATTAGGCGGTTAGCACCGACGAGCGGCTGCTGCTGGCCGGTGGTCTCCGGCGTCTCTCTCTCGGTCGAGCGGCAGTGAGTTCGGGCTGGTTTTTTAAACCTCTTCCCCCCCCAGACCCCACGAGGCTCCGGTCGCCTCTCCTGCTCCTGCTAGACAGGATAGTTAAAAATGTTCAAAAAAAAAAACACCATGGAGGTGGGGGGCAAAAAGTGTTGTTCTGTTTTTTTCTGTTACCGCTGCGAAGAAAAAAAATATAAAAAATAAAAACAAAAGAACCAGACAGCATCCTAGTGGTGAAAGAGGGGAATTGCAAGTGATGCGGAGGGGGCGCGGGGATTACGGATAAAGACGGGAATGAAGCCGTCCCACACAAAGACGCCCGCTATGAATGGCACTGAAAACCGCTTTAACGAGTTCCCCATTATTTCACTTTCTGGCAGAATTTTGTAACCTCTTTGCCTTCACGTAAGTAGTCTTAACGTAATGGTCATATTAAAAGGATACTTCGTCTGAAAATAAGTACATCGATTGGGTATCATGGCAATTAACATAAAATGGGCTTATTTTATGTAGGCTAATAAAAGTGCCGTCATTTGTCTGTTGACTTTATTTGTTGTGCTTTTCCAAATTTTTGTTTCTCAGAGTCAGATAAATTAAATCATGATGGAGCAACCGAAGAAGCTGGTCATGGACTGAAAACTATTAATGGTAACAGTATTTTTGTCCGTTTTTAAGTGATTAACCTTTGTGGCCCCCTTACTGAAAGCGAGCTCCCATAGTTAACATCTAATGATGCATAAAATTTGTATTTATTAAATGCAGCTATTGTTGTGTAATGCATGAGACAAATATCTTCGTCAACTGGCAAGCACATTCTTTTTTCCATGCAATTAATGTAAATTGCAATAGTTTAACACAAACCACAATCTACAACATGGCTTTGATTTTTTTCTTCTTCTAAGAGCGACTACTAATTTAAAAGAACTATCGTGCCATGCTAAATAGGCTAAACTTGTTTTCATTGCATAGCATAAATGTTTAACAGATACTAAAGAATAAATGAGCATTTTCTGTTGTAAACTCCAATTCTTAATGTATCCTTTTGGTCTGAACATTAAAAGATCTATAGAAGCTAGTCGTGTGCTTTTTGAAAGGAACCTAATTGCATCACACATGAAAATATCAATAGCCTACACCTTTTAGCTTGTGTAAATATGGTTAAACTTTAGGATGTAGTTCTGTTAATGGCAGAAGATTGTCTATGAATGAATCATGTGTATGAAGTTGATTAGTTCTTGCGTATCACACACACGAGCATCAGTATTTTGCATGTGAATGTTTACTTGCGTTGAGAACTCGAATTGTGATTGCTAACTTGCACTCAGCTCCGTGTGCCCCTGGTGCAGGGGGAGTAGGTCGGCTGCGGGTCGTGATGAATGGCACCATTATACGGCACATTGCACGGCTGTGGTGCGGCTGACACGGGGAAGAGCAGCTGGCAGCCCCCCGCATTCCTGAGCGGGAGAGACTGAGGGCTGTCGGCCTGGTGAGTCCCAACAGCTGCGGTGGCGAGCGGCGCGCAGTTGCTCAACACGCGCTTTTCCGTGCTCCTTTGGTACCCGCATTGATCACCCTCTCGAAATGGTTTTACATCTCAACTTCCAGTTCTACACCCCAACCGGACTCCCCCTAGTGCCATGTTCATCGACATTCCAAATAAGGTACCATTTAAAGATTACCAGTACTTACCAAAACGGCTCTGGGAAACGCTTAAGACGACCCGATCCACAACAGAACAGCGAACACCTGTGAAATGCTCGGTGTAAATAAGCGGAATGGTTTGCTAAGCAGATGGTGAACATGGGGGGAACAGAAGCCAAAAATCACAGACAACCCCCCCCCTCCATCATGTTTTATAGTTCTCTTTTATTCAGACAACCCAAATAAAAGGCACATAAAACATTGCGCATGTGTTTACATAATTATTCTGGACAGACATACATTTAAAAAAAATGTAGGAATGTTTTACCTTTCTGCTACTCAGAAAGTCTAGTCTTCATATATACAAAAATTACCATTGTTAATGTTCTAATACAAAAGATTTATAAAAGGTTATTTTACTTTTTTTCGTCTTGCACATATCTATCATGACTACCACGTCCTCAAAACTAAAATGGTTTTATACAAAGATATACATTCATTAGCCTACACAGGGTTTTTAAACCTGCCAATCCATCCATACTGGTAATATGTAAAAGAGCAAATCCATCAATTCTTCCCCATTCCCAGTTAAACATTATAAACCACAGCTTTTAGTTCAACTCAAATAAAAAGCACTTAAAAAGGAAACCAACGGCGCATAAAACAAATCAGTCCAGCCGTTATTTTTTTCTTAAATGACAAACATCACTCAATGGTTTCGCATCTTTCCTTGACAAAACTAGACAATGCCTTAGAAATTCATATTCATTATGGCAATGTGGATCATTCTCCATACTCACAAAAAGCTTCGGTTTGCTAAAATAAAGTCTCGCACTTGACAGAGCGGGTGAAGGTCACTTCCACAAAACTAATAATCCACTTTATGTCCGTCAGCAATAACCGCACAGCATTTACTCGGCGTGGCAAATGTTTGGAAGTAATTCAGGCACATAAATCTTTTCACTGTGAATGACGACCAACTGCACACATTAACTTCACCTTCCCAACTAATGCTGGGCTGATTTAGTGTTCTCTTTCCACAATGTTAATCTCCCTTGTCATTTCATTACTGTTTTTTTTTTTTGAATGTTTAACCAACATGGATTTGATGTTCCCATAATGCTAGGGAGCAAATTATAGGTGTCCAGCGCATTTGGTCTTTCATCCCAGGTGGTGAATGCCGCATGCCTCGTACCTTGGCACGGAATACTACAGTAGGTCACAAATGACTATCTGTAACCATGACAAACGGCGGCAGGCCAGGCTTCACAGACATGACATACTGACTATATATGCTGCCTTACTTTAGACAAGAGGCATTTTCGGCCTGCGCACTGCACGCTCATTGGCCTACAAGTGCTTTTTTAAGTCCACAGTAAAGACAAGATCAAATGTCCGGGGTGACACTAAAGGATTCTGGGAAGGCGCACACACGACCTCAACAAAACCCTAAGCAACCGTCAGGGCACCCGTTCAGCCTTCTTATCACATGTTCCGGTCTGCAAGAGTACATCTGAACCCTGAAGATGGCAGTTTGAGTTATGAATGTGAAATAAGCAACTCGAAAAGTAGTCCTTTTTTCACCATATTTCCTCAATGGATGGCCACAAAGAAAAATCGATTTGTGGATCCCTGATCTCTGAAGGGAGTTTATGTTCGAGTTAAAATCCAGTACAATACGGTGCATTAATATTTACAAAGTAACATTAAAAATCTAGGATGCATGTAAAACAAAAACTAATAGTTTACATAAACCAGACTGCTGGGTCACTCAGAATTCTTGAGTGGAGGATTCTTACTAAGGTTCTTCAACTTTAAGAGTAATAAGATCAAGGGTATATTTAAAAACCCTACAAAAACTAACCAACATGATAATCATAAAACTTGAACATTTTCAGGACCTTTCTCGGCATGGCATCTGCTGACCACTAGATGGCCCCAAATCTACATAAAAAAGGTTCATTACCTAACACTTAAAATCTGATCTTTGATAATACTGATGTTTTCGGAACATTACACATGGGATATGCGTTTAGTGCAAGACACAACTTTCAATTTCCCATAAAATGGCTGGCAACCACCGATTTCCACGTAAGAAGCACATTCCCAGCTATCCCAAAACAAGGGAAAAAAAAAACCTTGCAAAAAAAAAGTAATCTAATAGCAGAAGTGCCCAAACCTGGCCCTCAAAAGCCCTGGGGAGCGTGTGTGCTGCTTTTCACTCCACCTCAGCTCTTAATTGCTTCATTGAAGTTATTACTGGGAAATAAACCAACTTAGCTGGCACTTCAGGAGTCAGCGAGGCGCTAATTTAAAGCATATTCCAAAACCTGCTGGATTCCAGCATTTCAGTACCAGGGTTGGGCACCACTAGTCAAAAGGGACCATGGAGAATTATTCTGAAAAGCAAACAAGGTTGAGCTGGTTGACGCTGAGGATGAACATCATCCGCTCCAAATGCACAGTCTGAGACTGACACGCCTCTCTTCCTCAATACAGTTTTTCCCCCCATGCATGATATTTTAAACATTTTCCCTTCCCAGCGGAAGCCTTTGTCCCTTTTGCTATATTTCTTAAAATATGTAAAACTATTAAATACTGTTTAGCAGGCTATAAAACAAAAAACAAAAACACTAAAACCCACCACTCTGTAAGAGAACTTTGAAACATTAACACCTGCAACACACTGTTGCTGCTCATCTTTTCTACCAACTCCCACCCCAGCGACGCAAGGCTCTTCCGTACTCAAGAGCACAGCCTTACATGCAAAACCCACCTGCCCCCATCTGTGTCATAACACACTGCTCATTAACAGTGTAATTTCATTACTTCACAGAGGGAACTCAGGGGGGGGTCAGGTGTGTCTATGAGAATTAAGAGGGTGGGATGAGAGAGAAAGGGGGGGGGGCTGCTGATGTCTACCATAACTCCTAACTGGATCTCCTACTGCTCACACTGAAACTCTTGTTCACGCAGCCAGGCCAGAAAAATGCAGATTCCTAAGTTACTTCCAGCAGAGTAAAACTTTACTATATGGGCTGAAATGGGAAGCCCTGTTGGGGGGGGGTGGGGGGGGGGTAGAGCAGGGAAGGAGTGTTTTCTTAGGTAAGAGAGTTAGGGGAGTGGGTGTGGATGACTTGGGGAAGTGGGGGTTTACCAGGGAGGGGAAGAAGGCAAGACTTGGGACAGAAAAGGCATGCTCTCCATGGATCTCATGGCGATGTTGAGGGGGGTGGTGATGTTCATGGGCATTGGCGTGGTGATGGCTACCGGGTGGGCGATGTTCATGGGCGTGGTGGCGGGGATGTTGACCGAGGCGATGTTGACCGGAGCCGTGATGGTCACCGGGTGCTGCAGGTTCATTGGCGACGTGATGTTGACAGTGTTGGTGGCGATGTTCATCTGCGCCGCGATGGTGACGGGGTTGCTGGCATTGCCGCGGTTCATCGCCGTGCTGATGGCCGCCGAGTCTGTGACAGGCGTGGCCGCTGAAGAGTTGCACACATCGTTCGAATCTGGATGAGAGAGACACACACAGAGTGAACACGCCTCACTGCGTTGAAGCCAGAACACGTTCCTCACGGCTAAGTGCATGAAAGCGATGAACTACACAGGGCTTTCAGCAGGCAGGCCATTAAAGGGATGTGTGAGCCTCACACTCCGCAATCGAGGCTACTGTGCAGGTTTGCCGCTGCACTGGATCGCCAGTGTGCCCACGGCTGAGGGTGCTCAGCCTGGGCTTTCACATTCAGCCACAGTATTACCTTTTGCTGGCCCTGATGAGCTCCATTTCCAGTCTCCTAGGCCTATTCAGAAACAGACACACAGGGTTATAGGTGGTGGGCCCCCCCCACATCTCATGGGAGGCTGGAGGGGAATGAATGACACACCCGAATGACAGACCCCTCTCAAGCACCCCTCGAAGCCTCTAGATGCTTGCAGGTAGGACCATCACGACTCATCTATCTTCCACAGTGTGGCGGATGCTGAAAGTAACACCACGCCCAGAGCTGGCCCAAGCTTTATGCTCTCGTCCATTTCGAATGGATGGAAACAGCAGGGGGCAGCCTGGACCAAGAACGACGCCCTCAAAAGGACAGTAAATGATAAAACTACCAACGCCACAGCTCACAAATAAGCCCGAGGGGGAATGACACTCCAAGGTGACAGACCCGCAGTACCAACATACCTCAGCAGGTGAGTTATAGTGAACCTAAATCAATCCTCGCCTTTAAAGGCCGCCGCAAAAACACCCTAATTAAAGAACTATATAATGCCATCAAAATAATAATAAAAAAAGACTAAAAAGACTAGCCATATTTTACTATACTGAATTGCAAAATGCCTTCAATCACTGTGCAGACACTGGCTCAGGCACTGACCACAAGTAGAAGCCAGCATATAGATTTACTTCTGGATCGCACGACTGAGGCCTTGCAACTTAGCTGTTGGACTCAAAGCTAAACCAGAAGGGCCTTGCTCAACAGGGGGGGCCGGGGGTGGGGAGTTAGCATTTCAAACAAACAAAAGCTCCTCCAAGCCACAAACAGAATCTTTTGGGATAATAGAGGCCACTTTAATTTAGCTATTAGACAGACTAATCAAAAGGCGTCATCTGCTCTGTGAGGAGGTATCTTGCCAATTAGCATCTCGCAGAAGCCCTGTCAGAGTCGTCCGTGCCAAACCAGGCTGAATCGTGCCAAATAAGTGTGCTCCTTGGCAAGGAGACAGACCTTCCTCACAAGGTTTTCTTCTAAAAGGAACACAAACACGGGCGTGCTCGAGAGCCGTGCCGTCCATTAACAGAGGGAGCCTGGAGAGGAGGAGGAGGGGCAGGAGGAAGGGGCCGGCGTCGTTTCCGCTAGGTCATCCTTCCTATTCGGATGACTACACTCGAAAAGATGTTGCAGTGGGGGAAGCCCAAGTTTACAAACGAGGGGAAGTCATGCATCATGAAATGACAGGAAGCATATAGTCATTGGATTACTCATGTACTTCATATGGAAGTCAAAGGTGTCAGGTTACCCCCCCCCCCCCCCACAATCTTGCAGTGGCAGGTAACTGTAGAGTGTAAAAAAAAACATGGTTTTAAACCTGCATCTTCACATTCCTTCTGGGAAAAGTGACACATTCGTTTGGTGCAACACCTAAAACCTCACTTCTGCCATTTCCCAGCATCCTTCAGTGTTGTGCAATGTTTCCCCCACACGCGCCGGGAAACATGGAGACACACTCGTTCATTACCTTTGGAGCAGCCCAAATTTATCTGCCAGCTGCCGACAGCTTCTATTGGGATACAAACGTGGATGAATTACAGAGAAAGCCAAGGGGCGGGGCAAATTTCTGCACCCCCGGCAAATGAGGCATCACGCTAGAGATATGGGCAGACAGGCTGGCTGAACGGCCATTCACAGACATGCCTGGAACAGAAGCCTAAAAGCTGTTCTCTCTCCTCACAGCCATTTGCTCCAGAGACATAAATGCTGACTAAGGTTTCAGTATCTTTCTATGCAATCATGCTAATTGGAATCTCTAGTTTGTCTAAAGAGTACAATTACACACGTGCCCTGCAAAGGACTGGCATCCTGTCCAGGGAGCACCTCAGCCTAGTGGCCTGCGCTGCCTGGGTCAGGTTCCCTGTGACCCAGCTCAGTAGGCCATCTGATGGTTCTACAGCATCTGGTACGTTCAACAGATATCACCACAGGTGAGTCACTGTGGCTTTGATAGTCGTGTTAAAGCAGAATGTGTGGGCAGGGCTAGGTGAGAGTAGAATGAGAGAGAACCACATCGCTTTGGCACTGTGATATGTAGAAATGGTGGCTCACTGGGGTTTTCTAAGATTTATTTATTTATTTTAAGGTGGGTTGCATGTGGGGCCAACTTTAACATTAGCCAATGATACGTTCTGAATCGGGAAGGGGCCCAATCACCTTTGAGCTGGTGCCCCAGTCAGCAGCTGGTCGGGGGGTAGCACTGACTCAACATTCCCGCTGGACTGACTCAGCATCCTGTCAGAGTGGGCCAGCGACAGCAGCGTCCGGCATTCCTCAGACTCAGGAGATGAGGACTCCCATCATAAGACACGTGTGTCACTGTGTCACGTGTGTCACTGTGTCACTGCCTGACAGCTGGGATGGCAACAGCTCTGCTCTGCAGTTTGTCCAGGTATCACATATAAGCCGATTTCCTCGGCCACGCACACGATCGGGAAGGGCTAATAGAAAAAAGGCGCTAGATCGAGCGGGGGGCTGACGACCTTACCCCCCCCCCCTTAGAGTGGGATGGGGGCACGCCTCGGCGAAATACCTTTGTTACAGGAGACGTTGAAGCCGGTCTGGCCGTGCGTCTTCAGGTGGCTGGTGATGTAGGCGGCGCTCAGCATCTTGCCGCAGACGTTGCATGTGACCTTGCCCTCGTGCCGGATCATGTGAGAGCGCAGGCGGTCTTTGGTTGCGAACGCAGCCGTGCAGGCCTGCGACGCGGACGGGAGAGAGGTGTTAAAATGGCGGGCCAATGCAATCGCTACGCCTGACCATACGCGGCGAGCCGGGGGAGGGGCTTCAAACCTCGGTTTAGCTCAGTGGCCGCCACCTTCCCCTCAGCCGCACCGCAGACAGAACGACGGGTGGTTAAACCACGGTTTAGGCGGATAACTCCACACATTAAAGGGTGAGATGAAACCACACTATGAACTAAGCCTAACTTTAGGTACTGAGCGTTACCAGATATTTTCTGCTTACAAAAATGAATCTCAACTGTTTCCAGCAGGAGATTTGCTAGTGACAAAGACTCCAAAGAGAAGCTTCTTTGTTCAGACTTCAGACTGCTTCTTAAGCTCTTTCTGCCCCACATCAAGGGGTGGTGAATTAGCTGATCTTGCTTACAGTTTAACCCATTTAGACTTAGCTACTGCTTGGGGACCAAGACATTGGATTGGTTGGTCCCACCGCCTGTAGTGGCTTGGACCCACCTCCTCTACAATCTCATTGGTTATTTTTCTTTTTGCCCTCTGAACATTTTTGTGTAGGTAAAGGTCCCACGAGCCTAGATCACACTCTACATAGATATGAACACATTGCGCAAGAGCCATCATATGGCAACACAAACCGGACCACCGAACGCATCGTCTTACCGTTACTTGGCATCTGAAGGGTCTTTCTGTAGAATGAACGTGCTTCACATGACAGCTGAGATGATCCGGCCTGAAGGAGACGGGTGGGGGGTGAGGGTGGGGGTGGGGAGGTGCCAGATCAACACTACTAGGACAGGAGACAACTGCTTCATTCATGCCATCCACTCACTCATTCATTCACTCCCTCGATCACTCGCTCATTCACACACTACCTCATTCCAACTCTCAGTCCAAGTCACAAGTGTCACTCAAGCAGTTTTCCAGGGTTCAGAACTCTACGCAGGCATGTAGGAGCCAAACCCTGTACTTCCACTAAAGTTCCCACAATTCAGCAGACCGGTGAACATGTTCCTTTAAATCCAAAGCCATCGTTTACCTATTTATTAGTATGATTATTACAAATCAAGGCCGGTGTTGTGATGCTCATGACCACTCTGCATCAGACAAGGAGCCTGGCTGAGGTCACATGGGTGGGGAGCTGTGTTGCTGTCCCAAAGCAGGTGGTCAATTGTAGGGTGGGGCATCTGAGCAGCACCCACACATTTGTCAGAAAGGCGGGCATGTTTAGGATTAAAAGCGACCAAATGAAAATGCTTCAAATGTCATACATGCTGACAAATGTCACTTTTCTACAGTATCATGGGGGAAAACATGGAGAAGGATGATGAGTATGAAGCAGAGAAGTATCACCTTGCTTCTTGGGGAGCTTCACTGCTGCACTATTTCAGAGCATATTAAAGGTCTAACTTTAAACATCAATCTGTCTGAATTGTGGGACTGTTTCAGGCTTCATTGCAGTCAAATATGCACAAGAGATACGTTCAGCAGGGGACGGGATTCTCAAAGCGCAGACCGCACTGGCTCACGCTCCCGGCCCACTCCTCTCCTCGCTGTATCTGCTATGGCGCCTCGGCGGCCATGGGCTACACAGCCAATCAATGTATAACGTAACCGAAACTGTGCCATCAAATTTGAGAAGAATGTTAAGCGCCCCTCCCCCACCCACCCCACCCCCAAAGACTTGGGGAAGGGGGGGGCTGAGGGTACGAGGGCCGCTTGGCGAGATCGAGAAGTCTGACACGCGTTTGACCTAACGAGGCAGACGAGGCCGGCAGCGGGCACGCACCTGGAGAAGCCCTTCCCACACACGGAGCAGACGTACGGCTTGTTGACGTCGCCGTCGTGCGAGCGCACGTGGTACGTCATGCGGTCCTTCCGCTTGAAGCGCTGCTGGCAGATGGGGCACTCGAAGGGCTTCTCGTCGGAGTGCGACAGCTTGTGGCGGTTCAGGTGGTAGACGTCACGGAAGGCCTTGCCGCACATGTCGCAACCGTGGTTCTTCTTCACCGGCTTCGGCGGCTTCTTCGGGGCACTCTGCTGCGGCACGCCAGACAGGGCGGCGGCGGACATGATGCCGGGGCCGGCCGAGGCGGACGAAGAGGAGGTGGTGGCCGTGGTGAGGATGCCGGCGATTGTGGAGATGTAGGAAGAATTGGCAGCGCCCTCGCGGGACACTGTGGACACCAGGGGCACCATGGTGGGCGCGGTCTGCACCTTCTTGGGCCGTGACACCATCTTGACGCCCGTGTGGCAGGACTCATGACGCCGAAGGTGGTAGCTATCTCGGAAGGCCTTGTTACAGTATCCGCAGATGAACGGCGTCTTGCTCTTGGGTTCCTTCTTCACCACTGCGACAGGACCCACGTGAGCCCCGCCCCCAGTCCCGCTGGCCACGTTGTCCTTCAGCAGTTCGGCGATGCTGACTGGAGGCTTCTGGTCCAGGGGGATGGGCAGCACGGGCTTCTGGTCCGGCGGGTCGGCACCGGAGTTGAGAAGAGGGAGAAGGCTGTTTTGAGCCACCTGGTGCTGGTGGTGCAGAGCCTCGTTGGCCTGCTGGGGGGCGGCAGAGAGACAAGAGCAACACCCGGGGGACGTGAGCGCTGGCTGCTTTTACAACAGTGGACGCAGCTCTTAGACAATACATCGACACGGCGGGTCTCTTACGCAATTCTGACACTGCTAGCCGAACCCGACCATCTGAACCCTTTATCTCAAGCTTATGAGAGATCACAAACCACCAGAAGAAATATCCATCTGGCTAAGAACTCATATGGAGGTCAAACACACCAAGTCAGTCACCGTCTCTCCCGTGGTAACCTAATAATGAGTTTAAGGGCTCACATATGTGATCAATCAGAGAAAAGAAAAAAACCCACACGAAACAAAGCCCTCCTGAGAGACAGAAGGGACAGACACAGACCACAGCTCTCGAAAGAAGAAACTGATTCATTATGAAAATCACCCACATCGTCTAAATGAAGACGGAGTCCTCCCAAGAAATGGCACATTAGCGAGAGTGTCCAACCAGATGCTTGAAATTCACCGGCTGCCTAACCAGGCGAGACTAGCCCCAACACTGCGTTTAGCACAGCTCAGCAGTTAGCACAGCTCAAAGCTCCTGCTTTGAAGGAACCACACAGGACATTCGCAAATGTCTGACCACCGTTGGACATGCTGAAACCTGGACTTACTACCGCTTCACAGATCTGCGTACAAAGAACGGCTGACTGCCAGTCGAGGATCTAAAAGGGTTTAGTGTAAAAATGACTGTCCACAGCAATGGGGTCGACTTGACCTTTAGCGAGAGGCTAGCAGTGGAGCATGACATCCCAGCACACGTACGCACCAATAAGCCCATCAGGACGGTCCGGTCGCGGCAGGCTGGCTTCATGCGAGGCGTGAGAGGCAACCAGCCAGTTTGGCAGCATCAGGACACGGTAGCCTGACTCAGCGTGAGCTCGCAGGAAACCAACTCAGTTTCCCCAGACACCCCCTGTGACACAAAGGTGTTTACAAGCACCCCCTGACCGGAAACGTGCAGCAAAGTCAGCCCTGCAGACTGTCAACTCATTGCCTCAGCAAGAGCCGTGTCCACTTGCAGTCTCTCTCTCTCTCTCACACACACACACACACACACACACACACACAGAGGATTAAAATGAAACCTAGCACTGTTAAGTATTAAAATGATTCTCTCTGCCTCTTCCCAGTAACATCCCACCTGTACTTCACACGCAACAAAGGAATGAGATAGAAGTAACAAAGGTCACCAGACACTTGACATCCATGCAGTCAAAGCACCGCAAGGCTTTGAGATGTGCCGGCATTTTCAGTACTTCCTTCTGCCACAAAACGACTGGCCTCGGGGGGGGGGGTGGTTTGAACCACTAATGACCTCTCACTGTGTTTGGTGGAGAAGCCAACCAGCCTCATGCCTCAATAAGATGTAAATATTTTGAGAGAAAAATTGCTATCTTTGCAGGCTAGTCAGAGCCAAGAGGAATATTCTCTTTCACAGACGTTGGCACTCTGATAGAGAATCCCTGTGTGGCTCATGCACGCACGCGCGCACACACACAGCATAAATTCTGCAAAACTTGTCTGAGGAGGAAAAAAAAAAAAAAAAGAACCTTCTGCAACTTAATTCGTCCCTCACAAATGCAGTTTCTCCTCACAAGCGGCGCTGACACAAGCCTGATCGCATGTCGATCTTTGCTCAGGGCTGCTTGTGCTGTGGCTGTAACCTTAACACTGACTCACCGCACACTCCCAAAATAAGCACTGCCTCAAACCCAAGCCCTTTGAGTCGCGGTAACCCTACCTCCCGAAGCGCAACAACGAGCGAAAGGCAACGCCAGCACTCGCGGCACGTATCCTACGAAGCAACTAAAAATAAACCCCTTTGAGACTTGTTTTTCGCAGATTTCACGTGGGTTTTTTAGGAAACCTGAGACAGACTCGTGTGACACGGTCTTGGCTCACAGGCCGGCTCGGTGAACTTGGGAGAACATCCATCTCGATGGATGTCTAGGAAGCATTCGGGCCCTCGGGCCCTCGTCCTGGACGCCAGCCAAGATCGAGCTGAAAGGAACTACAGGCCTGGCAAAAACGGGGCTTCCATCCAAAAGGGCAAAAGCAAGACGACACCAATTTGCAGGAATCAACAACAGCCCCGCATAAACACCTCTGAAAGAAGTGGTTTCAAAACACTGGTGATGTCATTTCCTCCCTGAGGAAGGGGAAAAAATGCTGGCTCTGTGGAATTCTCTCAAAACAAAAGGCTGATATACTTCTAGGAAATGCAGTTTCATAAATTAGCCTCCTTATGAAAGAGACAGAGAAAAATAGATTGTGACCGTGGAAGATTTTGGTTTAGCAGAGAGAGCCAAGATAAGATCAAGAGTGCAGCAAGATGGTCAAATTGAGAAGAGTCCTGATTCGCCAGTCGTCCACGGGGAGAGTCCTCTTGCTTTACTGACATTTTGGGGGCTTAAAAAAATGTCTCTCACTGCTAACAGGCCAAATATGGGGGGCACACCGAATCTGACCCCTTGCTTTCAGGCTCAGCCATCCATCCAAGCATTGCAGCAGAACAAGGAACAGGGTGAAAGAAGGGGGGGGGTGAATTCCAAATTCTATCCCTTATGCTATCTGCTCCATTGTGGGGGACAAAAATCCAGGCAGCAAGGCACTTAAAGCCCCGTGTGGGGGGTGCAGCTTTGTGAGAGCGTCCTCGCCGATTAGGACGCACCATTCATATGGGGGCGAGGGGAGGTTCCTTCCTCAGGCTCACCACAGGCGGGTCGGCATCCCCCAAACCTCGACCGTTTACCGACATATTTAGGATCCAGATCAGATTGTCAAGTTAGCTGCAGTTTCTAGTCATGTTATTAGGGTTCGGATACACGTATCTATAAGCCCATATATGTGTGTGTGTGTGTGTGTGTGTGTATATAGAGGAGGGGGAGTGCCTGGACAACTATGATGCAAATCTAGTCTGACCCCGAGGGTCACCACAGCAAAGAACACAGATCCTGGAAAACTAACACTTGGGGGGGGGGGGGTTCAAAACTTCAGAAGTATGCCACTTGACGATAAACCTTAAAGACTCTCCCCCCATCACACAGTGCACAGAGTAATACCCCAGGAGAAATGACACCAGCGTATGGAATGACCCCTTTAGGCCCAGGATCCATGCTGGGTCTTGCGCAACTGCAAAAGCAAAACCGGAAGACCATTTCATAACATTGCAGAAGCGCCAAAAATTCCAGCCCCCCCCCCACCCCCACCTTTGAGTCAGAGACCACACATGCCTTCACAAAGCCCTCGAAACCACGTTTTCACCCATTCCGCAGCACGTGCCCGCGATGACTCGGAGTGGAGGTAATGAAAGGGCCAGCTACGATGCAGGCACACTGCCAAAACCCTCAGTGGGTTAAAAAAAAAAAAAAAGAGGGCGGGGCTTAGTCAGAGCTGAGACACGAGTGGGATGAGTCATGAGAGCGCGCAACTGACATCTCTACAGGAGCAGGGACATGGTGGCCATTCCTGAGCTTGCCTGGTGCCAAGTACTTTTAGTGCCCACTGGATGCTAATTAAAACAAAACATTTAAAAAAAAAAAAAAATTTTTTTTTTTTTTTAAAAACACATAAATACTACCACAAGAGCAATACAAATTAAGTACCTTGCTATGGAATATAACTGTGGCTTCCCCTGCCCGCTACCCTCCACTGAAGAACACGAAATCAGTAACCTCCAGGTTGCGGATTTGCGTTCATCGTATTACTTGTGATCTGGAATAAGGTGGGCGGCTTGATGGGCTGCTTTCATCAAAGGGACTGGAAGGAAATCTGGTCACCCCAACAGCCAGGCCCCCATCTACTAAAGTTGAGTCGGGTTTGTAACACCACTAGAAAGTGGACTATGCCTGATTAGAGACATGAGTGAACATCCTGGATCTTCTGCAAACCCTACACTGAAATTTATGAGCTTAACTTTAAGCGTAGCATGTTGATATAATGGAGGGGACGGTAAACTCATCAAAGAACCAAACCACATGGCACAATGATTGCACTGAGCTCCAAACTTCATCTGGAAAAAACAGGACCCCCCCCTCCCCTCCCCTCACTCCCATGAATCAGTGATGTCTGAGAGGCTCAATAACAGCTCCATGTTCCAGGTGAGGGACACAGAACAAGTGACACCCTGTGTCACACAGCCTCATGTTGGAGGCCGGTGGGAGGGGGGGACACATGCAGTGCTCAAACATGATTCAGAAACACGGTGTCCAATTACGTGCACCTCACCACAGTCCTAAATGCGCCAATGCGGTCAATGCAAGACTGACTGAGGACCATCTCACTGTGCACCTGAGCCCCGAACTGACTCGCGCCGAATAAACACAAGGTGGGGAGACTATGGCTGCTACTGGCAGGGGTTCTCCTCCACCCGCTCTGCTCCAAGGCCACCACATGGGGCCAACACCTCCCCTCCTCAACGAGTGCCACACACTCCCACACGGCAAAGAACAAAATCTAATAAAAGTATTAATGGGCTTAGTTTTTACGACACATTACTGAAAATGCACAATCCCAACACATTTCAGAGTAAACAAAAACGTAATATAACTTTCTCCCACAATAGGATCAATTTCCATGCTAGAAAAAAAAAATCCAAAAAGATTAAATTTAACTTTCACCATTCCAAATGCTCTGTAATTTGCTCTGACTTAATATGAAATGTTATAACAGGAAGTTTAAAAAACAACAGAAACAAAATTCTTAAATATTCCAGCGCTGAAAGTACTCCACATTTATAGGAAATTAAATTAAAAAGTAGTTTTGTCTCTACTTCTGCCTCACCAAGGGGATAACTGGGTTTGATAGAATAAATCAGATTCTTCACACAGGAACCTGACATGGGGTAAAAAAAAAAACAGGACTTCATCCTAGTCAGTCCAGGGCAATAAAACTTCATCCTCAGCCCACATTTAGTCTAGACAACACTGAGTATCTGATTGCAAACTTGTACAGTGTGTTCTAAAGATGATTCATGTTCTTTATGTACTTATAGAAGTTTAATACATATTACTGTTTCAATAGCATACCACGGCAAGGAATAGCTTTGCCGTGTCCCATAAAACGCCGTCTACCCAGCATCATTAATATACAGAAATATTCCAGAAAAAAATGCAACTTCTTTAAGATCTATCGGTTGCAAATGTGTTCCTGACAAGTCCAGTGAGTCAGAGCTGTATCTGTGACTCACTTTCAGGAACGACTCGCTTTTTTTTTGGACTTTCTCAAACCGGAGAAGGAATTTTAATGGGCGACTAACATTTATACCAGACGCGAGCCGAATTTAATTATCCAGCTTAAAATAACGGCCATTACTATTTAAGAAAGTTTCAGGGACACAAACAGGCCGCAGACGTAAAATAAAGCAATAAATGGAAAGATTTAAGGGAGGTGCAGGGGGGGGGGAGGGAAAAGGCGCTCAAAGACCCACGCAAATCACTAAACAAACCGGGCAACTTAGCATTTCCACCACCCGGTTAGCCCTGTTCTACAGTCAAAACTAGAACAAAATAAAACAATTAAAATGCGATTTACCGCCCTTAAATGGACGGCTCTGCCACTCGGCGTTAAAGGTTAAACCAGACCCCAGTCATTTTGTATGATATACGGCCGAGCCTCCGTAAAACAAAAAAAAAGTTAACCTGAGGTAAAATGTCACGCCTTTTCACTGGGCTCAAAGAGGGAGGGAAAAAAAACCTCCCCGAGTTGCATACGGCCGGTAGCCATGATGAGCAACTTCACTTTGTATCCCGAAGCGCTGCCCCGCGGCCGGGGCCTCAGCCTGCACAAATGCCGCCACCCAGATCACTCTCACTAACCAAGTTTGCTCCTAAGCCCAGAAATCACATTTCAGAATGAAATCTTATAAAAATAGAGAAAGGTGTAAAAAAAAAAAAAAAATACAGGAGTGCACGCCCGCTTACTTTTCTAGAATCGCTGTACTGATTTTTAATGATTTTTTTGAATTGGAGAATTGCTGTTTCACACAGGTCGGTCTATTCAACGATATTAAAATGGACGTTTTGGGAAAGAAAAAGCAGCAGCAGCGAGCTGTGGGCACACACCGTGTGGCTGGCGCTGATGGTGGCGACGACTTATCTTTTATGTTTAGTTGGCCAGATCCCCCCATCCATACAATAAACCATCACCAGCATCTTTATTTAACCAGTGGTTTTCAATCCTCATAGCCGGCGAGTGCATTAAACTACCATTATTTCGAGAGCTAAGAAACTTCGCTGTTGTAAGCGCCCAGATTTTTTTTCCAAGCGGTTTTTCCTAGCCAGCCA